TTATTGTTATAGTTTATTGTTATATTCTTTTTACTTATGGTTGCTCTCAAAAGGGCCGTTTGTTTTGAATATTTTCGGGGGTTTTGATGACGTCATCGTCCATACGAGGCGTACGTAAAACAGAGGGTTCGTATAACTGGGGTACGTAAAAACGAGGTTCTACTGTATTATTATAGTGCTTGGCACTTGTAACAGGCTTATGATTGTATAATTGTGCAAATCAATCTTGAAAACTTGTGTTACATAATTATTTACCTTTTAGCTTCTCTTTATATTACAAAAAAATGTATAAATTGTAACAATAGTTTAATAAATTGTACAGATATTGAAGAAATTCAAATCAAGATGCATACCTTCCTCATCATTAAACACAGCAATAGCATGGTCTTCTGCTGTGTAAACAATGGTTACATTTTCACATTTTAAGTTTTGTAGAAACTTAACAACTTCATCTTTCCAGTTACAAATCTTGCTGTCGATACTTGTGTTAACAACACTGCAAGCTATGATATTGGAATGTTTGGTAACATCTCCGAAATCTTCTTCACTGATAATCACAAAACTCTCACAACTGCTACAATCACTGTGATCCTCACCACTGCTTGGTGTTGTAGCTGATAGTTGCACTCTATCACTTTTTCGTTCTAGGAGAGTCTTTCTCAGCTCCTCAATAATGCTGTCTATAACTATTTGAAGGCATTCTTTGGAATCAGACACAAAGTAGTGTTCCTCATCATGGTCTACATACTGAACTTCTGTTCCACAATGAATGGTTTTCAAATTCGGCAGCAGACAAGCCACAACTGGGTCAATTCTAATTGAGAATATCTTCCCAATTCTAAAAGTCTGAAAGAGCATGAACAAAATAGCGAGGTTTGTTATAATATTATTGTTTGCTTGACTATTTGATTGCAAAGTTGATTGACTAAACTGATTTAAAATGGCTAATGATTTTGACTTGTTGGTTGATTGATTGAAATCTAGTCTCTGAAATAATGTTCAATATATGTTTCTGGTTTAATGCATTGCAAACAAGTTACACTACTGTACTGACTTCATTTGAATTGTTATGACATCACCTATACCTAAAAAGAAGAAACAAGATTATAATTGATTAAACAACAGAACACCAAGCTACACAGTAAAAGCAGCCTTCCCACGGTGAAATTTTGTCTAGTACAAAATGTTAAAATATTTTGAATTCTGAAAATGATACTTAAACATTTTTGAATTTGTTTAAGGTGAGTATTATATCTAAGGTGGAGACTGTCCCTAGTCTCTCTTAGGGTGTGGGGTTGGGTGGTGAGGGGAGAAGAGAAAGGTGGTAAGAGGCACCCCTCTGACCGCGAAGACAACGCGAAGTTGAGGATTACACCTAAAATTAATCGCATGCTCTCAGTGAATTAAACAAGCATGTTTTAATCACTGAGAGCATGCAGCCAAGCATTGTTATCAACGATGCTTCACATGCAACCAGTGTTCACTGTCAATACGAATTAACAATTGTTTTAACAAGGAAACGATATGGGCATATCACCGAAGTTTTACAGTGCTTAGTTTTTTTTTTGTTTTTTTTTAATGGCGTCGTATGTGCTTATTTTTGTTTTTTTTGTTTTTTAATGTTGTCGTATGTGCTTATTTACTTTATAAAGGCTTAACTGGCCTTGGCAGTTTATTATTTGTCGTACATTGTTGATTGTAAAACACCGGTTAGCTAGACTATGTAGGTAGTAGGGTAGGCCTCGGTAGGCTAGCATAAAGTAGGTTAGTTCGTTTAGCCGACAGCAGCCTTATTTCACGCAACATTTCATTTTTCATAGGCATGTTTAGTGTTAACGTTTCTCTTTAAATCACAAATTAAACCCCTGTTTCTCACTTTTTGGACAGGTTCTATTTTCTAAAAGTCCCATGGTCTGGATGGATCCAGGCCTGTTGAATAGATTCCCACACGAGTGTATCCCTTCATCAGCACTGCAAAACCTCAAAAGGAGCAATCCTGTGCTTTCCTAGTCATCAGCAGAGTAGTGGAATTCTTGAATGAGAATAAGTTATAGCGTAGGCCTACCCTCCATGTAATCGTATTATATTATATATAATACCAATAATTCAAATGAAAAAGGTTTTGAATAGAAACATTTGGTTTTATTTGGGTATGTTTATTTCAGCGTGTTTGGACATTGCGGGAAGTGAGTATTACGTAATGGCACTTGAATGAATTCCAGAAGAAAAAGCTGTTTTATGAATTGTTCACCACCCCCTTCGGCTCCAAGCAACCAAAACAGCACGCGTGTTGTGTCACAGCAGAATGGAGGACTCTACAAACCATATGGCTATATATATAATTATATGGGCCAGTCGCCATTTCCTAGTAATAAACGTCATAATAGTCTGATTGCCTAACTCTTTCAAAGTAATATTGTACGGTATATTGCTTTATATGAAATCAGAACGTTGTATTTATTTTTTCATAAATTATTACTCAGTTCAGTATAGTAACGTACGGTACGGGACCGGAGGGCGTACGTAAATCGGAGGATTCATAAAATTGATGTTGGCTACGTAATGACAATGCTCAATAAACGTATGTATGAAGAGTGAACGATGTTACCTAGGCTAGACTTCGCCTCTAGGCCTATGAATAAAACCATGTGTTTTGTGTTTTTATTCATAATTTTACGATGCCATAATAAAGTGTTCAAATAAAACCATTTGTCTAGTGTATTAATTCATCGCTTATTATCGTTTATTTAAAGAACAAGAAAATATTGTAATCTATACGACAAAGGTATAACTTGGGAATTCCCCTTCATGATTCTAAACAACAGAGCTGTGGTGTTGTCTGGGCCTGTTGAGACAGACTAAAACCATGTGCCAACCAATTAGCGTTCGGGTACGTGAAACAGCAACCATGTGCTGCTATGCACTGGGCACACCAATTAGCGTTCGTGTACGAAACTATGTCTACTCTACTCATCAGCTCCGTGTAGAAAATTCGACCACACGAAGCTAAGGAGGAAAGCAATTATTTTGAGCACCATCGGTAGGCCTAGTTGTTCATCTCACTCAGTTCACGTGTTTTTAGATTATAACAACCCGGTATTAGACTAAATCAACGTTGCTGTTTATACGTTGCATTATGGTTTGTTTATTGATAGTAATTGTTATTGTCGTGATGGAATAGACAATAACTGGATTTGCGTCAGGAGAAACATGTATAGGTGTAATTTTGCCCTACCTGACGTGGAAATGTACCGAATACTCAGTACATTTGAAAACAACTGCGAAAAAAATCGCAAGTTGTTCTCGGGTGGGTTCGAGTCCCACCCGAGAACAACTTGCGATTTTTTTTCGCAGTTGTTTTCAAATGTACTGAGTATTCGGTACATTTCCACGTAAGGTAGGGCAAAATTACACCTATACAGGTTTGTTTATTGTTATACTTTATTATTAGTCTTTTTACTTATGGTTGCCCTGAAAAGGGCCGTTTGTTTTGAATATTTTCGGGGTTTTTGATGACGTCATCGTCGATACAAGGCGTACATAAAACCGAGAGTTAATGTAACTGGGGTACGTATAAACGAGGTTCTACTATATCCAAACCAGAACTACCAATGCGAGTCAACGGAATGAACGGAATATGTCCAGAATACACATTTGCATCAGAGTCCGACAGAAAAAGGCACATGTCAATGATACATAGATAAAAGAGCATCAGATTCAACGTGTATGTAACTCAACGTTATTGGGGAGAATGCCTTATTTATGGAGAGCGTCAGTAAATAAAATGTAGACTGCACTATGAATTTGTGTTTGCCTTATGATTTCTATTGTTTGCTATAAGTTATAGATATAAGATTTCTTTTTCTTTCAATAATCGTAGATAGTAAAACAAGAATTAATACCAAAAACAATACAATAATTACTCAGTTTAATACACAGTTATTTTTTTTTGTTTTTGTTTTTTTTTAAAATTGGGATGTCTGGGATGGGAAAACTAGGCCTATTTTGATTGATATATTTATTTATTTTTGGTCCGACTGCCCGACCTGCCGACGAGAGTACCCGATAAGAGGGGGGGGGGGCTTCATCAGACAATTAGGAGATTAAGCCCCTGCCCCACCCCGGCTCCACCACTGTACCCAGTGGTGGCTGCTTTACAGAAAAATAATGAAATCTTGCTACCAGTATCTATCTATTACACTTAATACCGCATATCATCATTATACGGTATACGTCTCCATGGTTACGTTAATTGTTAACTGACAGCCATGCCCATTCGTGCTGAACAAGCAAGTTTTTCAAAACACGTTTAATGGCTAGCTTTAAATAGTATTTTACTATAATAATATCAGAAAGAAAATCTAAGAATCTCAGATATCGAAGTTAATGATTTATGATATCAAAATGTAAACATAATTTAAACATGAAGGGATGAGCAGTACTTAAATCATCAGGCGAAGGTCATTCACTTTACTACAAGTGTCTGTCGGCTCAATGACTTAGTTTCTCCATGGAGGTATGTGTCTTCTACAATAACTATCGTGGGATCTTATTATTTCGGGAACGTTTCTCACTGAAAATTCACACTTGTTACTAGGCAACTTGGTATTGCATGCATGAATATACTACAGTATTTTACAGTATATTTCCGATAACATAAAAAGAAGATGAATTTCTTTTTTAAAAAAATTAATCAACATAAACATTTAAAAAACTAAAAATGATAGATGTGAAGATATTTAACTGTACGAATATGCAAAAACATGCCAATCATACGAGAACGAATAATCGTTATAGTATATAGTATCGTTATATATACAGGGTATAATAGAAGCAATTTCGTTTTGTAAATAATTTAAAAAAAAAATTTTTTTTGTAAAAAACAGCAATTAAGTTATATAGAACGAAAGTTTGTAATGTATATATAAAATACAAGTTATAGACATATTAATTATTTATTCATTAAACCCAGACCCTGGCGCTCGTGAGAAGCTGGCGAGAACCGCCCAGGAAACTGAATATATTATACCTGTATGTACTCATTGTATTGTAACCAACTGTAATGAATTTCACTATAGTATAATATGGAAAGTATTTTAGTTCAGTTATCAACACGATTGTTATTTCAGTAGAATATATAAACTAGGGTTAATACAGTACATGGCTGTATGACCTAGATTCATTAATCGAGAGCTTTAATAATAATTATAAGCTACCGGATCGTATCGACGGTGGTACTCGTAGTTCCATTGCTCGCGATAAGTGTCCAGTACAGTAATTGGTTTCTTTCCACGAACCCAAAAATAATGGAATAGTCCAAGTAATTATTCCTATCGCGCCGGAAAACGCGATGGTTCAAAGCGATAATACCATCGCGTTGCCTTCGTGATTTTGCGTTGTTTTGTTTTGAGATGCTCCCTAAGGTAATTAGGCCTGTACAGAGAATATAAATATTCTTCGCGCAAAAGATAGGCCTTGACATCGGTCCATTTTTTGCCGAAAATTCAGGTTTGGACCTAGGCCTAGGTCTATATAGCTACTGTACCTAGGCCTAGCCTAGTCTAATCTCAATTCTTAAGCCTGATTGCCTTTGGGCTTGGCTTGATCTCCTGTAATAACTTCAAGTTGAACAGTATGCTAGTCTGTTGTGTAGGCCTAGGCCAAGAGCAGACGATCGGGCTCACCCCACCATGAGGCAGGTCAGGTTTTCACCTGATTGCATGCAATGCAGGTGTACTGTACCGTTGATCGCATATCTACTGTACATTGCACTAGGTTAATACAGCCACAGGTTGCAGTAGGAAATCATCCGATTTAAATCATATTAAACTTTACGCATTAATTATGCTGGCAAAGTACTGACTATTTCCTATAAAAACTGTATACTAGGCTTAGTTAGGCCTAGGCCTACTTAGGGAAAAACAGCACACTCGGTATCACAAAAATTTAGGTTCCATTGCACATTTAGGTGGCTAGTAGTGCGCAGCACAGCTACTTGTGTCGGCCGTTATCATAACTAGTTTGAAACGCTTTCAGCGTGCATTAATTAAAAAAAGTATTAAAGTAAGTTTAATTTCAACTGCAAATTGAACCACTGTTTTTTGCAATGTAAACGCATAATGACATATTACAATTTCAACGCTGGCATAACAGGCCCCAAAAAATAGGGTAGTTAGGTAGGAATTTTTTTTTTTGTAATTTATTTTTTTTCCTGCCACAATATTCAGTAAAGACTGTGAAATCTATAAAATCAATTAAATAAGCCTTTAAAGCCCCTAATGTCATATTTTTCTTCCTTGGACCACTTTTGAAACATTTTGCGTAATGCCTGACCATGCCCAATTTGTTCATGTAAACTTGTATCGTAAACCAGAGCCTTGCAGGCGTCAACGTTCCTATGCATGATACATGACTTAAAAAGTATATAGGCCCTATATATATATATATATATATATATATATATATACGTGTAGAACACCAGGAGAGGTAGAAAAAGCAAATCAATCCTTGAGTGAGCAGCAGAATATAGTGGCGTAACGATATAGTAAATTTCACTTACCAGTAGCACTGCTGAATTTTACTACAGCACGATCCTTCTTTGTTCCAACTGGATAAATGATACCACACACCTTGTAAACTGCTGGGGCTTGCTGAAAAGCCTCAATGATGCCCCTGATAGTTTGCTCCTTTTCATTGAATATCTGAAAACCCTTGACAATCACTCCGTCGTCTTCTGAAAGGCCGACATGTAGCTCCTCCGCAGAATCCATTGTTTACCTGTCTCTTATACACATCTAGATGTGTATAAGAGCTAGGTATACAGTAATTTCATTTTACAGTAGTTTGGAACGATATCAGGAGTGGGGGTGGTGGCAGTGGCCTACAATTTATTTGAAGCTATCTTGGGTCCGATCGTCTGTCACCCGAAGTTTTCATTACGATGATCAAGAACAAATACCATCTAGGCCCTAGGCTAGGCTTAGATTCCTCTGCTACGTATACTACTACCGCATAACAAAGAAAGCGACCCACGCGGTGCATTCTTAAATTGTACACACATTATTAAATGTATTAGACGATAACACGATATCACTGACTTAACGATCTACCACCCTCGCATCGCAGTAACTATTATACTGAACTAGGCCTAGCTTAGGCCTAATGTTTTTGTGGAAGTTAGACAGTCGTTATGTACCCGACAGTCGGCTGCTTTTATATCTTCACTTGTCTTCAATTTGTATTCAAAGGGTACATTGCTGCATAGCCAACTGTCGGGGATATGGTACCTTCATATGACTACTCCATAGAGATAATAATAAGAATACTAGAGCGCTAACCGCAATGTATTCGATGTTCGAAATACGCAGAACTGTTTGGGTACCATCCAAGATGGCTGCCATAGATTTAGCCAATCAAATTTCGCTAAGCACCATCGTTTGCAATCGCGCCCTCAATTTACTCGGAGGGTTCAGTACAGCTAGCTACCCGTATGTTTGAAACTCGAGCGTTGCGGTATTTGGGTGTAATGTACACGATTTTAATTTTCATTCCTTGGTACTTTATTTTTGAATAAGATGCTCCACTTGGCCTCGTTTTGGCTACAATAGTTTAATAATTTGTTATGACCATTACTCATTATCATTAATGAAATAATAGTCAGTCAGAGGGCTTATTAATATGTAATAATATGTATACTAAGCCTGAAGGTGGCACTTTACTATGACGGCCATCTTGGATGGTACACATACATAACTCTGCATTGCTGCGCCATCTTGTTAACGCTCTAGTTGTTTAATAGCTCTATGGACTACTCATACAACAGAAAAAAACGTCGCATGGAGTTAGTGAAAAATGGAGATCTAATTGAAAAAACGATGTATTTCAGCAAGTATTAAAACCTTTTTGTTTTATTTTAGGCCTTCTTCAAAATACCTATGCCCTATGCCACAGCAGTTGATTTTTTTTTGCCGTAAAACCAAAATAGTTTCATGCATGCCGACTTGCCGATCGGTTAGCGCGAGCCCTGACTGAACTCTGCAGAAAATCCACATCGAACTTTGCATCGCGATGTAAAACAAAATGTCGGAAAACTTTTCTTTGACGCATGCGCATTTGCATAACTGTCTACACACATATGCACACACATACTACACACAATAAAAAACAAAAGAAATGTGAGAGTGATTACAATAGTTCCTATTGCATTACATGCATAGGAACTAAAAAAATTAAATAAAAATGTCTAGGGTCGGCCGATTTTTTAGGGTTGGTCAGGTTAAGTCAACATAACATTTTTTTAGGCCTAAGTAGGAAATCGTTTATGGGAATTATGATTGTATTTATTGTATATTTCCCGATAGTGACATTAATTATGCAAATGATCAATTAGCATATTCACACACATACCAAAAACAATAGGCTCCATCTTCTTATTACCATCTCGCATTCTGCCAAGTTTGAAACCAATCGGCCTTACCAAACTTTAGTTATCGTGTTAACAACAATTTGCCCAACAATGACGACAATGCAGACAGCATAAAGAAGAACATGGGTAAAACAATTGACTCCCCGGAGCTTCGCTCCTTCGGGGAGGCTAATTACTAGACTTAGGTCTGATTAATGCATTCAAAAACATCAATGGGCTTTGCAGGCCTCAGGAATTTTTTTTATACAATAATTTTACTTTTGTATAATATTTTCCACTAGTGCATGAAGCAAATATACTAATTGTTTAATAGTAATAATTATAGAATAAACTCAAAAGGTGATGAATAAAAATCAGTGGTGTGATGCCTGTGAGCTCTAATGGGGGAGGGGTGGTTGAAACAAAGGGGGTTCTGAGCTCCTCTTACTACTAACCACCACATTAATATAGGGCCTTGACCCGTCTTTTCAGCCATGGAATTAGGTAGGGAGATTACCTTTCCTGACCAGCAAGGGCAAAACCCCCCACCTGATTTCCCTTCTCCCTGGTACATGGCTAATCATTACACCACTGATAGGAATATAATAATAAATCTCAATGATGTCTTGCAATGATTATTCATAGATCTGCAATTGCTTTGAATAAAATCATGTTTAATTAACTGATAAAATGGAAATGGCAAGAAGACAAATAAAAAAAACACTTGAACTTTGAACAGCTTATTGAACCATAAAACACAATCAATGCCCTGCCTTGTGTTTGAGGTGTACAACTGTACCTTAATTTTTTCAATCTTCAGTTTTGTTTTCTTTCCAATCTTCAAAAAACGAATATCTATCAGTTCTTTCGCTTTAATAGGAAAAAAAAACAAAACAAAACAACACATGTTACTCCAGCAAAATAGTTGATGGAGACAATTACATAAAAATAATTTAGTATTCACAATGATTTCCATGCAAGCCCATAGCCACCAGGTGGTTCAACGAGTTAAAATAACCCCCTTCAAATTATTAGCAAAAAGTTAATTAGCTGTTGACATGAAATTTTTTTTTTCATACTGTATACTACAGTACTAAGGTTGATTAAAGACAGTGTCAGAAAAGTTTATCTTAATCTTGATCTATTATAATTCTAAATTAAGAAATAATAATAATAAATAATGCTTACAAGACAATTAATATTATTTCTGAATTCTAAAATCAAGTTCACTCATGAGGTAAAAAAAAAGGTTTGTGCTGCCCAAGCCCCAAGCTTGAGAACAAAAAATACATTTCAAGCTTTTCAAATTCTTTACTTTGACACCTTAGTCGTTAGCCAACCAAAATCCATGAGGTTAATCCTAGAATGATGCACAACTGTACTATAGTTTAAAAAAAAAATCCCAACAAAGAACACCAGGAGAGGTAGAAAAAGCAAATCAATCCTTGAGTGAGCAGCAGAATATAGTGGCGTAACGATATAGTAAATTTCACTTACCAGTAGCACTGCTGAATTTTACTACAGCACGATCCTTCTTTGTTCCAACTGGATAAATGATACCACACACCTTGTAAACTGCTGGGGCTTGCTGAAAAGCCTCAATGATGCCCCTGATAGTTTGCTCCTTTTCATTGAATATCTGAAAACCCTTGACAATCACTCCGTCGTCTTCTGAAAGGCCGACATGTAGCTCCTCCGCAGAATCCATTGTTTACAAGATGCTATATCAAATCAAAGCAAATCTACTTTACTTGGAGGATGAACACTAAAATATAATTTTCATTAAAATCTATACAAAAAATGATAAAAAGCAAGCCAGAGTGTTAGATTTACGCAACATCATGCAGACCTAGATGCATAGACAAAATGTAGGACTATTATGGGTTCCAAGTTGGAAGAAACCCCTTCCAAGATATCTGGTTAAATGAGCTTTCTCAACATATTTAATTATATTTTTCTGTGCATAGTTATTACCCATCGGCACTGACTTCTGTGATTGTGTGGTTTTTTTTTCTTGTAGCCTTAAGGTTCACAGTAATTTTTGGTTCCTTCGTTATGTAGCGCCTTGAGCATTACTGCAGTGGATTTGTGTGCTTTATAAATCTCATTATTATAATTATTATTATTAAATTATTATTATTGATATTATTAGTAGTAAAAACATGCAACTTTCATGAATATGCGGGAGATGGGTTATTTTCCCAGAGATTCTTGCTTGCTTGAAAGAGTGCGTGAGGCCATCCCAAATTTGCTGGAGACTTCAGTGACTTCTGGGCAACTTGGAATTCCCTGGGTATCCGTAACTATATGCTTATCATAAAAACTTTCAATATGCCACTGTTAGTGGTATTAACATGCCAAGTTTTTTGTTCTGTATTCTTTTATGAAAAACACATGTAAACATCATTCGTTTAATTTATTTAATTTAAAATTCATATGAAAATTATCTTATAGGCCCCTGGTTCTTAATTAATTTATTTGACAGGCCACATTATTTTAGAGTTGATCTAATGGGCCAAAGATAATCTCCAAGTTGCAAGCAATTTATACTTGTATGTATACATATACTTCACCCCAGTTGGGTGTACAGCTGTCTCTTATACACATCTAGATGTGTATAAGAGACAGGTTTAATGGACACAGTATCCATTATAATTATCATGTATTGAAACCATAAGATGGATTTCATATTTTACCAAAAGAAGAAGACAATGTAAATAATTTTTCTTGCTCAATAAAGATCTTATTTTTTTGCGTGTTAATATCACAAAATTGAGTGGCGCTAAGATTTACCTAATGGTGGGGAAAAGAGTGATGTCATTGGGGGGTTGGGGTAGCAATGTTACCCAATGAGAATGCAAGAGGATGGGGTTATTGTCACTCAGAATCTCTGGGGGTCTAAGGGGAATCCCCAGAAGCTTCAACAATTTAAAGATTTGGAATGCATATTTAGGCCCCTAATCGATATATACAAGTCTGATACTCTATAAAGTTACATACGATATGTTTTTATCACCACCAGGTTTGAAATATCCTCTAAATTTCATTCCTTGCAAACTAGGAGTTGGTGGGAATTGACAGATTTTAAATGGCATGATGAGGATTAAAGTGTTGCATAGTCGTTGAATAGTTGCATAGCTACTTAAGCAGGCTTTATGCATTTAAATTAAAACATTAAAGAATAGCAGGCTTTACATATTTAAATAAAAAAATTACTAAGAACTATTTTATCCATTTCTCTAAAATTTTTGGGGGTTTTCTGTCAAAGCATAAAACACTTCGTCTGTAAGATCAAATCAGAATAGGACCATGTGTAATGTCCTACAATCATTACTTTGAAATACCCCAAGTTGCTTTGGTAAAAATTGTTATTGCACATGGCCCATTGTTGTGTTTTGGTCTTTACCGATTATTACTTTTATAAATATTTCCCCCGGGAAAATTTTGATCCTTAGATAGCAGGAAATTTGCTTTCCCGACTTCTGAGCTGTCTTTTTAATGACTTTAAATTCATAAAATTTTACGGTTTCCCCCTCCTGAAAAGGGTCAGGTAAACTTTCTCATTCTTATTACAGTATTACTATTAGGCCTGTGTGTATATGAAGTACATCGCCTAGATATTGTTCTTTCCATGGATCGCTGAACCACAAAGAGGAAGGGAACCTCCCCCAAAAAAACAAATCTGCCAATGTGAATTGCGAGAAATAACTCAGTCGGGGACTGCATAAACACTTTCTCTTTCCCCTTCCTCTCCTCCTTCCCTCTTTCTTTTCTTGCATTTCTTTCCGATCATACAAAAATCTCCATAGACATTCTATATTTTCTGCCACAAAGTGGAGGGGGGGGGGGGGGAGCCGACACCCCGGTTCCGCCAGCCATGTATAACACATTACAAAAAGAACAATTTGTAATTGCTCAGACATAGTATAGTTGAGCAGCAAAAGCAAAATTCCCGGATCTGCCTCAGCAGTAGAGTATCAGCCCAAGTATCAGTATCCTAATTTAAAACTCAGTAGTCGGTAGCACACTACTCCCGGATGCATGCCTCTCGGTCGGACCGAATAAATGCAAATTTCGCCTCCAGCGAGGACAGGACAGGATTGAGTACCTGGCCAAAACCATTTTCAATGTGTGGTTAAAAAAAAAATAATAAACCAACAGAGAGGCAGCTGCAGTGTGCGCATAATAGCACAGGATTTATTGGATACTCAATCAATGGACGAATTCATTTTTATTATGTGGTATCCACGATTTTTTTATTCTGAGGTAAAAATTATGCTAAATTTTTCTAAAATTATGCCAGCACATATGCTAGATGCTAAATGAGTCTAAATCCCCGTTCCGCAACCTTTTTAGCCTACGACCCAAATTATATATCAAGCACTCAGACGCAACCCATCAAACCCGAAGCCAATATATCACGTCCGTTATTTATATGCGTGAGGGATAGAGGGTAGAGAAACCACCCACTTGATTCTTTTGGCAGCCAATTAAAAGATACTACTGTATCACCCACAACATAATTTAAGACACCTAAAAATGACAACATAAGTTAAGATTTTTTTAATTAATGATTTACAGACGTTTATTATAAATTCCTTAACTTGCTGCCAGATATTTATGGGTTATGTGAAGACATAGATACTACATTAAATTGTTATAATTTTCAGCTGAAAGCCAAACACATTGAAATTAACAAAACTAACACAACACTTTCAAGTTTTTGTCATACCTGAAGTACAAACGTTTTGATATATTTTTTTAACATGAAACTAAGATTTAACATGATACTATGAAACTGATGCACATGCCATACTTTTATTGCACTTTCATTTACTGTATTTTGTTTGTCCTCATTTGTATTAAGTAAAATTTTCACGATCTGAAGAGATTACGGGACCCATCCAAATTTTTCCACGACCCAAACATTGGGTCGGGGCCCATAGGCCTAGGTTGCAGAACGATGGCCTTTGGGATTTCAATCCAACTTGGCCACACGTCAACTCGGCCACAAGTCAACTCGGCCACAATAAACTAGGCCAGTCAACTCAGCCACAAGTCAACTCGGCCACAGATCAACTCAGCTACAAGTCAACACGGCCACAAATTAGTTGCAGCTTACTACTACACTGGTTTTGAGGGAATAATTAATATCCTCGCTATTTCTAAAATACTAATTCGTGTTTTTATTATTAACAATTGCTACAAACAAGTTTTTTTTTCACTCTTTACCTGTCACTAATAGGCATACTCTATTATAACCTCCTGATTATAATATACAGTTATTACTAACTTAATTATGGTTCATTTTACATAAATAATATTATTGTAATATTTTTGTTTTCAATATATATTGTTATCGTTATTATTACCAGGCCTCGAATTTTACCGCGGCCTTTGCCGACGGTGCCCTCCTAGTTCGCCTTGGTGCCCCTGAAAATGAAGCACGACGACGGCCACTACTTGCCTGCCCTTTTGAAGCCTTGGCCTCGGTGCCCTCACGATGCTTAATATAGATCGTTTGACACGTAAAATAAATCTAAGTAAGAACGTTTAAATCTTGAAAGAAAACACGAAAGTCAAAAACGTAGGTCGCCTAAGCTAGCCTAGGCCAGGTTGCAGTGACAGAACAGAACATAAGAGAATTTCCATGTGTGTTGATATATACGAACTGTTTTTACGGTTACCGTTGTGTGCGCATGCGTCTTACTCTAGCGGTTATTGCAATAAACATGGGCTGGTTCGTTAAATAGACTTCGTTGACAATGAATATGAACGTAAATCAGAGTGCGTTAATCAGCGTCAAGTTATCCACGTGACCAAAGAGAAACATGGCCCATTGGTGATTTTTTATTAACAACATCTTGCGTTAAATTTCATATAATAAAATAAACATTATAATATAATAATATTTACCCACATGGAGTCAAAAAATTATTGTAGGCAAACAGAATAAAAAAAACTGGATGAAAATATTTTTTTAACGAAAAACCCGTACTACCACAAGTTGAAGCAGTCTTGATTACGCAACGTGTATCGCGGTAACTATACAGCCATTTTGTTTTGTCGAATATTTACAAGTTTTCTATTCGACTGGTCGTCTTTGTTTAGTAGGATGTTATTACCGCTGCGCAGGTGGGCGTGGTTTAACGAAGAACGACCAGTCGAATACGGGCTTTGTATAGTTGTAAACATGTGCTTGCTGCACAGCTAACTTTGGGCGATCTTACGTCATCGCAGCTTTCGCGGCCAGTTTAGAGTTGTGGCTTCCTCTCCGATGACGACGGACTGAGCAACAATGCAAAGATGTCGAACTTCTTGAAATTTGACTGTTTTGTACGATCGCCGACCGCCACAGTATATTTTCAACATTGAATCGATAATTAATAGTTAATACTCTAAACAAAGTCATTGACAACTATGGCTTGGCTAGGCCTAGCTTGACTTGGCCTAGCTTGCCTAGCCTGGCTACGACGAATCAAGGCACTCGCGAACAATTAGTACTGAGGCTAAATCAAATTTTGCCTTGGGTGCCCTTTTATACTTGAATTTTTGGCCTTGGTGCCTTTCCATTTGGCTTTGGTGCCTTTCAAAATCATGTCATACCGGAAGCCATTTGGCCTTGCCCATAAAATCCCCAATTCGAGGCCTGTATTACCGTATTATTATATAATTATTATTATTATTATTACTATTATTATTATTAGTATTACCAGAATTATTGTAATTACCGTATATATTAATATTATATTTATTTTTTATAGGAATTTACCAGGAATGATCTGTTCCTTTGTACACTCTCAAACGTGACAAAATTTAATAATAATATCATGAACATAATTTCTAGTTATTATTATTATTTTGCCATATTATTGTATGTATTATTTATTGTCTATATTATTTTTATCGCTTTTTAATTTTACATTAAAGTTATATAATGGTGAAAATGTTCAATATTCTGTGGCAATTTTTATTATAAATGATTAAAAAATTGTAGTGAAAATGATTTATGTTTACCAGTGGCAATTTTTCTTATGCTATTTTTTCACATTATTTTGCCATATTATTTTATTTTTATTGTCTATAATATTTTTATGGTTTTTATTATTAAAAATTATAATGGTGAAAATGTTTTTAAAAAAATTATTAAGTCAAGTGCGCAAGTAACAAGTGAAAAGTCATAAATAATAATGCGAATAAAGTTTCCCTTCCTGCCGTGTTATGGTATACGTTCAGTATCCCAAATACTTGCAAAGAAAACATGTCAGGAAGGGCAAACATCGTTTGTATTATGGTATTTGAATTAATTTGTTAACATAGAATTTTATAGGGCCTATCTGAATTTGTAAAATACTATGCAATAAAGTTACAGTTTAACTACCGAACATTTTATATTTGTATTCACGGCTGGATTGCAGACATTATCATCCTAATCCAATCGCGAATATTGTGTGAAATCTGGATCCATGCCTACATGAAATTGACTGAAAGCTTAAAAAAAGTTATTTCTTTTAACAAAATAATAAATTTGGAATTATAGCAGAGACAAAATTAATGACAATGTATGAATACGGAACATAAGCGTACACACTGCCATCGCATGTGTTGTACCTAAAAATATCCGGTTGTCTATGTTATTAGCATCTGGCCTACATTCCTAAATGCGGCGTACAAAGAGCGTGTCTGCTTCAACCTGAGTACTGTGGGAACCCATTTGTGGGAATGTTTCTTTCCAATTTTTTTTAATTGTGATAGTTCCAAGCAACTAGTACATAATTGGCTTAGGAAGGGAGTGAATTTTTCCGGCTTATTATATAGAAAGAAGCCCGAAACGGCCATTAACGTGTGTGTATTCATAAATAATATTGAAACAATATACTTTATTATCCATTTATTTGTGTTTTTTATAAATAATCGGAATCGGATTATGTATCAAAATGGAAATAAACAACAAAATACAAACCTTGTGTCACATTGTTCACCTCACCGCATTACTTTATTTCAATCATTGTCATATTGAAGAAAAAGGATGCAAAAAGGCAATATTTACAATTCACTTTAATAAAGTATTTTATTCCATCATAACCTGTTTATAAATTACTTGTGGGATCCCACAACTGTACGGCACGGTAGCTATGATTTGTGGCCGAGTTGACCGTGGTCGAGTTTACTGTGGCCGAGTTGGGTTGTGGCCGAGTTGACTTGTGGCAGAGTTGCCAAAAAGCATATTATGTCTGGTCACTATGATGATTTGCTCATAAAAAATATTTTTTTTTTTTAAAATCTAAAATGCCGACCCTTAATTTCGAAAATTTGGGTCGGTCGGGCGTGGCCAAAACAATATTTTTTTGGCCTTATTAGGCTTGCGTAAATGATTTGGAAGTGAGTGCGTACGTTAACGTAGCCTGTTCTGTAGGCCTAACTAGGGTCTTGGCCTAGGGTAGGCCCCAGGATTCCTATATAATAAGATCTTTAGTACGGGCGAAAGCCTGGAGCGCTGCAGATATCGTACGCACAGCTATACTGGTAAATGAGAAAGTAATCTTACCTGATAGACATAGGCCTAGATATTTTACAATAAAACAGACTTCTTTAAGTTCTAGTTTACGCTTCCTCGTCGTACGTTGCGCAGTTCCCAGGCCCAGGCAGTAGCTGGGAATTTCCGTACCTAGCTGAAATCTGGAATTTCCCATGTACTGACAGGATAATAACCAGACAGTGATTGGCTACTTGTTCTGACTGATGAATATTCAACTTCTAGGCGAACCAATGAGCTTGCTATTTGGATTTGCAGTCTTTCTCTCTCTCGGAGTTTTGTAATGTGATTTTCTTTTTCAAATCAACAGCAAATACAGTAGAGTAATATCATTTTATAACTAGAAATTGCAAATTGCAAGTGAAGTGCTGCGAAGTACAACTGCATATAAATGTTCTTCGAACAAAATTATTTATGCGAGTCAAGTGAAAATAATGAATAATAAAAATATAACAAATAATATGAGACACGACCCATTGTCTATATTAGAACACTTCTCATTGGGTAACAAAGTCGTAATTTTTCTTTTTTGTCAAAAAGTGTCTATAGTGGTGTGAATTATGGTTTAGGTTTTTTTAAATAAAGTTTCAAAAATTTCTGTGTATGTGGAAAATGTAGATGATTACCAAAGGTTACAATTTTTATTTTGAAGACTGCATGGTCTAGAAAGTGTACATTTTTTTATGGGGAAAGTTTCCAAGGGCGGGTTTTCTAGGGGCGAGTTGACTGCCAAAGAGTGTTGCCAAAGTTATTTGATCCATAGTCAATGTTTGACATGTTTAATCACAAGTGCGAGACATCGCTCTCAAGAATAATGAACCAGCGAGCAATGACGTCACGTTACTCGAGTTGTGCGAGGTATCGGCTGAGATTTGTGGTGTACAATTCAAAAAACAACTATAGGTCTAATAATGAATTATTGTGATGTTAAATAGACAATGTTAGCTATCAAGGAGCGACGGTGTTTTTCATTGGGACCCTCGTCCCTTCAAGGCTAGCTAGTCTAGGCCTAGAGTAGGATAAGGCTAGCGCGACATACGGACGTTGGTACGTGTTGGTTAGTCTACAAACGTCGCCTAAAGTAATTGATTTTACCCGGCAGAACGAAAGAAGGAAACTCCGCTTTTCAGTCTTAGGCCCTTGTTTTTTGACAAACAATGACCTTTCAGAGGTCAAATTGCTGTCAAGAATCAAATGAATTGGCTGCTTCGCAGCAATTTTTTTTTTTTTGCATAGATTCGTATATGAAGTAGTAAGGGGTAATTCAAGTATTATGTAACGCAGAGGGTAGGGGGTATAGTGGAAAATGTTACAGTGTGTGACATAGGGGTGGGGTGTTGCTTGAAGTGTTACATAACAAAATTAATATTCATGAAGAGAAGAAATATTAAATATTCAAACTTGTATGATATTACTTTATTGAAACATATTACATCAGTGTAATACAATGTAATGTAACACAGTTACAAAATCAAAAAACAATGAAGTTACATCTACCATATCAAAAAATAACAAAACATCCTACAAAGGGTGTCAATATTTGCCAAAAAATGTGTAATACTTGAATGACCCTAAAATAGTGTATATAGATAGTGTACTCAGTACGGTTATGACCACCTTTCCTCTACTACGACATACCGTAAAACCTCAAAATGAAGCCCATCTCAAATTGATTTTAAAAAAATTGTTTTTAAATATTTTTACATGCGTGTTCGTTTAGCAACTATATCGCCTTCATTGACCTATTTGTGTACTGTATGTGTTAACTTTTTATCATCACAATAACAAAAACAACAATAATATTTTAATAATAATGGCGAGTTGGATGGCAGAGCGGTTACCCCGGTGTACTGGTTCATATAGCCCCTGTTGTGGACAGAAGAGAGTAGAGTACCGGTTTACCGAGTAGCTCAGACATGAAGAGACCCTTAGAGGAGAAGAACCTCGTGGTTTACAGATTTCAGGCAAAATTTTCAAAATTCATAACTTCACTTTGAATTAAAAGCTTGTACTGTGATGTTCCCGGTGTGACATTGTGTTTTCTTAATTTATCGTAGTATAATGTCACAAATTTGTGGCCTTGCAATTTACAGTAAACATTCTTATTCGTAATTTTGTTAAGAATTCAATCACATGGATTATGAAAAACCTGGATTTCGCCATGATGGGAGGACAGTATTGAAATGTAATATGGTGTTTTTTTTAATAATATAAAATGTAAAACGGATTTGAAAACAATTTAGTTGGTTACAATGCCTATCTAATAACTAATAAAAATTAACCAAAATTCGCCCCTGGACCCCCACCGGTGCCCCTAGGATTAAAGTAAATTTGAACATCAATATTCATAGTTACCAACCGTCTCGCATTGTGCGGGACGGTCCCGCATTTCAAAGTGATTTTGGATGAAACACGCATTTTGCAGAAACACATGCGTGATCATAAATTTGTCACACATTTAGTACTGTACAAGTCTATGTGTGATAAAGAATTATCACAAATTCAATGTAAAATGTATTTAAAATTAGAAGAAATTTGTTTTATTAACGATATAAAAACGGTCATGCAGTAACTTGAGCCATTAGGGACCTTTCGTTATCTCTTTCGAGAATCAATTCACCAACAAAATTTCTACCAAAACAATCCAGTCAACCACGCACTTAGTAGGATCTAGGAGGCGCGTGCGGGCTAGCGCGTTCATTGTCACAACCATGTAACTGTTGATTAGGCCAATGTGACTCGGACCCCACCGGGGCCCCTCCCCTGGGCCCCGGAGGCGGCCCTGTTGGCCCCTGGCCCCGAACCAGCTTTAGGCATGCATTTCAAATCTCTCAGGTTGGTATTACTATGAATATTTATGGTAAAAACAACAAAGTAGAATTTTTTTAGATGGGGGCGTACTGTAACACCCCTTCTATTTCTTTAAAAATAAATCTTTTAAAGCTTATTTAGCAGAAAATTGATCAAATAAAACCTCAAATTAATAAGGGTTTCGCTTCCTTGCACCTTGCAAAATTTTTCACTGAATTAGTGTCATACAGTGTTTCGCCATACAAGGTATTGTTATAGTGATTATTAGTATTTGTACGTCATTCTATTGAAGTAACAGTAATAAATAATAAAACAGTGATATGTTAAGATACATGCGGATGTAGCTTATTTTGAAAATATAGTAATCTTTTAACGAGATGTACGTTATTGCACCTCTTAGCACAATAAAGGCACCTTTCACAAATCATTACTTCACTAAATGAGAACTTCCATATACACAAAGTATCAACTATGAAATAGCCTATACTTCAATTACAAATAATTATACTTTGTAACTCGTTTAAACTTATGGATAAAATCATATTTTATTGCATATAGTATAAAGTTTCTGTTAACACTGATTTAAAAAAAAAAGGTTATACCATAATTATATTTCTATGCAGAGAGTTTACATTTTGATTTCCGGCCTATATCTATAAAGACAAGTCTTATCACAGGAAAGAGCCCAGGAGCATGTTCTTCAAAAAATAATATAGGTTATACCATAATTATTAATTATATTTCTATGCAGACAGTTAAAGTTTTGATTTCAGGCCTATATCTATAATAAAGTCTTATCACAGGAATGAGCCCATGAGCATGTTCTTCAAATCATGTACTGCAAAAAACTACTAAATTTGTAGATATGAAATATTGCTTAAAGGTTTGCATGGCGAAGAAATAAAATATATGTTGAAGCTTGCGGTACACCAGGTAAGTAGTTCTGAAAAGAACTGTTGTTGTTGAGAAAGTCTCGACGTTTCGATTGAGATGCTTCAATCGTCTTCAGGAGAATAATATCTGCAGACACTCCAAACAGGGAAATACTTATATGTTTGGGTAGAGAGGCTGGACAATAATGGAAAAGTGCATAGACAAAAAGGAAGACTTATATATCTGCTTTATAGACTATGTGAAGGCATTTGACTGTGTAAAGTATGAAGAGCCGATTAAGATATTGGAAGAAATGGAAATTGATAGGAAAGATCTAAGGCTGATTAGAAACTTGTATTGGGATCAGAAAGCTGCCATCAGATTAAATGGAGATGTGGGTAAATGGGTTGAAATCCAGAAGGGTGTCCGATGGTGATGGATAAACTGACCAATGAGAAGACTGCTAGTGAGAGGCTAAAACAAAAGCCATTGTTCACGGAAACAAAACAAAAGGGTGGGAACGCCCAAACAAAGGCGCCCTGGAACCATGCCTTTGTTTGGGCGTTCCCAC